TTTGTTTACCCAATTCATTTATACCTCATGTCTTTGGACTTTGGGGGAAAATGGAGCACCCAGAGGAAACCCACACGAACATGGGGAGTACATGCAAACTCCACACAGAAATGCCAACTAACCCAGCTAGCACTCTAACTAGTGATCTTCTTGCTGTGAGGCGACAATGCTAACCACTGTGCAACCGTGCCGCCAAGTATTCAACATTTATAATATTAACCATTAATTGTGACTGAGCCAATAATAATTGGTCATCATAGAGTAACTAATCAGAATATTAGAATGATTTCAAGTATTACAGTGCTTTTGTTAAGTGGGGGCATCGGTAAAAATCCATGAGACAATCTGTATGCAACAAAATTATTATTTTATGAGTCCAACATGAATAAACAAATCATAAAAACATCCACATATATAAAGGTTACATAAGTCAACTGACTGAAGCAGGACATCATTTAAAGCAAAGCATTAATAGTTTGGGATTTTTCATCAGTTTTAGTTTTTATTTTATTTTGACTTTTTGTTTTCAAATTCAGTTAGTTTAGAATAGTTTTAGAGGTAGATTTACTTGTTTTTATTAATTTTTATATTTTGAAATTGCTTAGTTTTAATGGTAGTTTTAGTTTTAGTGTTTTAGTTTTAGTGTTTTGTTTTTTTTGTTGACGCATGAACACTACCCTCTACCACTACCATCTACCCATCCTCAAATTCAAATACAACAGCCCACAAGATAACAGCCTTCAGTAAACTATGTATGCAAGGTTGCTTCTGAGGTTATACACAGTATTGATAGGAAGTTCGGATCTTTAACGTGAACCGGATCTTCCCAAGTTTGGACTCAACATATCAACACATGTCAAAAAAATGTAGCCAGCAATCCTAATCATAAATTTAATGTTGTCACTGTGCTGCTGTCATGTCCAGCTATTTGTTTTTGTTGTGGGAGCAACAGGATGACTGAAAGAGAACCGGCTGAATCTGGCCAATGGTATCAGGATTACAGACTCTGAGGTGCCGTACAGGTCAAACACATGGCAGCGCAAAGTTATTAGATTTAGTTCTAAAACATTCACAGTTTGTATTACATACATTTACAAAGACGAAAATTAATTATATACTTTTAGTTAGTTTCAGTTTGTTTTGTGAGTACACAATACAGTTTCAGTTAGTTCTAGTTTTAAAGGGGTGGTCCATTAAGATATAATGTTTTAAACTTTAGCTTATGTCTAATGTAGCAGTGTCAACATAAACAACATCTCTGAATGTAATATGCTCAAAGATCAATGCAAAGGTAGACATTGGCTTTTACAGAGTTAGAGTACCAAAGCCTACAGCCAACGAAGTTTTGGGACTACAAAAAAATACAACGGGTTAATAATGTCATAAACCCTTCAGGCTACAAGCATACAGCCCATGCAGCGAAGGGACATGGCCAGATGCACTGTAATGTTATAGCAGAGATGCTTCATGTTAGCTGAGTAGCTGTATATAATCAAAGTAGAATATATGAAAAAACAACATGATTTTTTTTAACGAATGAAACATAAGCACACTTTGCTTTGCATCTTATAAATACAACCAAGCCTTAAAAATGCACTCTGGAGAACCCTTTTTTTAAAAATAAAACTTTTTTTGTGTGTGTGTTTTTATTTCAGTTAACGAAAACGTTTTTAAATTTTAGTTTTTGTTTTTCGTTAATTTTCGTTATTATAATAACCCTTGATTTAAAGTGGGGAGAAGCAATGGGCGAAAGGAGGAATCAAGGGGGTAAAGACAATCAACAACTGTTGCAACTAGGCATGTAACGGTATTGTAAATACCGTCATACCGCAATATTAATTTTTTTCGACATTACCGAAGTCGCATGACTCGGTAAAACTATATGTCTTCTGAGAAAATTTGCTCAGGCGAATGAAGCGAACGGGAGGTAGCGAAAACTACAATTCCCATCAGCCCATGCTTGACCATCATCCCTTGCGGTCTGTTGTCGCTACAGATCCAGTAATGCGGAAATGGAATGTGCTGCTAGAAGCGGGGATGAAAAAGAGCTGGAAAACTCTAAAGCGGGTGTACTGAATAGCGGTGTTGTCGCGCGAGTTCTTAACAGCTGTGTTGTCGCGCGTGTACTGAATAGCGGTGTTGTCGCGCGAGTTCTTATCAGCTGTGTTGTCGCGCGCGTACTGAATAGCGGTGTTGTCAGCACACTGTTCAGATTGATGCAGACATGAGACCTCTATCTTACTCATGGTTTGTCCTCTCAAGTGGGGGAAAGACAATGCACAACGTTACCCACTGCTGTCAACCTGGGCCAAGTCATATCTCTCTTGTCCCAGAAACCTCAGTCCCAAATGAGAGGGTTTTTTTCTGTTGCAGGGGACATTGTAAATGCCCAGAGATACCAGCTTTTACCAGATTATATTTATATGATAATTTTCCTTTAAACCCATCTCTATCTAAGTGAGTGAGTGATTAAATGTTGAATGTGATGAGTTTTCAACAATACTAAATTGAAACTTTATTTTTTTACATGGTTTAATATTTTTTTTATTATTAAAATTGAAGTTCCTGTTTCAAAGCTTACAGGTAGATGGCTAATTTGTATGTCATTGACACTTTTGGCACTTTTTTTGGAGTATTTTCATAAGTTTTGTTTTTTCCTGTAAATGATTCAATAAATACCGTACCGTGACATTCATACCGAGGTATTACCGTACCGTGAAATTCTGATACCGTTACATCCCTAGTTGCAACTAATGAGGGTAACTATGATGATTAACAGAGGGGAAGAGTCAGGATACCAAAAACACACTAAAACCACAATACAAGTCTATGACAGCTGGAGTAGTGGATGTTGAAAAATTAAAAATATCATCATAGCATCATTTCCCATTTTTGTTAATACTTTAAATCTTTTCTTTTTTGCAATCATATAAATGTATTCTTGGCTAGCAAAAAATACTAACAAAAGTTTCTTGACCTTTAACCAGCACTGTAGTTTTTTTTTAACCACAAAATACATAGTTTTGCGCAACTTTTGATTTATCTTGTGTGTGTGTGTGTGTGTGTGTGTGTGTGTGTGTGTGTGTGTGTGTATGTGTATGTGTCTAGTATGTTCAGTATGTGTGGTTTCGATCCCTGTGGAGGAGAGGGAGTCCCTCAAGCATGCAGCAGGCCTGGTAACATACTTATTTTGTAAACTCTTCCAAGACAACCTCTCTCTGATAGTGTTGAATGATACTGCGGAAACCACATTCCTGGATATTTCCTCTTTTTCTCATTCTCACTCTCGTTCTCTCATTCCTTCTCCTTGTTTCACATATTTAAGCACAAGTTGAGAAACTATTATGAATGACATTCTTCCTCACAGTACCAGTGCTATATTGTAGTGAGCAGAGACTATTTCAGATGGCATTCCTTAGCTTAACCTTCTGTTTCTGGTGACCAGAAACTGCTGTATAACTAGAGAGGCATTCCTGACCATTCGCCATCTGACCTTTTCAGTTTTCTTCTAAAACCAAGAGATTTCCATCTGTTTTTCAAATGACCCTAGAATGACCCTGTAGGACACACAGCAAAGAGTGTTGACTTAATACTTGCAAACCCAATATATAAAACTAGTCATATGGAAAAGTTAAGGTGTAATAAAATATCTAATAATGGTGCAATAGTAATATTTTATGAAAAGTTGTTGTTGAGTGCTTAACATAAAAATTTGATATTTAGATAATTATAAATATAAATATTAATGAATAATATTTCATTATTATTTTAAAAAAAAACTATAAACACATGTGTTGGTTCCCACAAATAAAGCTACAAAATTTTTAGGTTCTTCTACACTTTGCTTCGTCTAAGCTTTGACAAAATCTAGATTGTAAAACGTGCCATGGATTTAAATATTAATTGAATTGTTTTTTTCAATTGATAAATTGAATTATTCTTATAGATCGCAGGGGGGGAAATATCAGAAATCATGTTATGTTTGTGTATTAATGAACTCCGGAAAACGTTTTCAAATGTGCAAATTAGAATAAGACTTAGATTTAAATTATGTTTTTGCAGTGTTTGTGTGTGTGTGTACATACATACATACATACATACATACATACCTAAGTATATATACATACAGTATATGCACACAGTTGAAATCAAAAATATTAAACCCCCTTTAATTTTTTTTTTCTTTTTAAAATATTTCCTAAATGATGTTTAACAGAGCAAGGAAATTTTTCACAGTATGCCTGAGAATATTTTTCTCCTGGAGAAAGTTTTATTTTGGCTAGAATAAAAGCAGGGTTTTTTTACAGCTTAAAGTTACATTTTAAATGTTAACTAGGTTAATTAGGTTAACTGGGCAGGTAATCAGGCAAGTTATTATTTAACAATGGTTTGTTCTGAAGACTATTGAAAAAAACATAGCTCAAAGTGGCTAATAACATTGACCTTAAAAATGTTTTATTAGACCTTAATTGTATTGTCAGACAAACTGTGAAAATTTTCTTGCTCTTATAAACATCATTTGGGAAATAATTAATGAATTTAATTGCAAATAGTTACAAATCTATAATTTCTATAATCTAACTGAACATTAAATAATTGTACATTTATACAATAAATATACAATAACACTTTAATTAAACAGCATTACAGTAAATTATGTTTAAATGTAACTAGGCGAATGTGCTTAATTGTATAAATTAATAACAAATGCAACATTTTATAAAGATGTGACTGTCTTTCTGAAAGAAAAACAAAGACACAAAACTAAGTTTGAACTGAGATACATAGTACAAATAAAAATAATGTTTATAAATCCTGATGGTTCACTGTACATGTGATTGTGTGTAGTGAAAGAGTTGTGTGTTAGCCGATAGTACAGTAGAAACTGGCATTATTCCACATCTCTGTTTAACCCTAAATTCTTACTTCAGGACAAGCTAGGAGTGAATTAAATGTTGCAAGACCTCGAGGGATTTCCTCAAACAAAACCAGTACCCTGAGACTGTCTGCTAATGTAATCTATACTGATAACAGTGATATGTGCACCATTGAGGACTGGATTGGTTAGCTCTGAAATGTCGTTGTCTAAATAGTCAATGCAAAGCAAAATAAAACTTCTCACCAGTTATCACATCATTAATAGGCCATGAAGTCAAATATAACACAAGTCACTGTTCTAGCCTTAGCCTACACACTACATTCTAAATTCATCTCTGCGAATGACAGCCTAGAATAATGTATCCATTGTCATTTCTGTAACGTTTAAGAGCGGCTTGTGGCATCAGTCCACTATTTGGTGGGAACACTGCTCTTCTGTGTGAAGTTCATAGTCTTTGTTGAAATTATTTTAGCTGCTCTCATTAATTTCGATGCTAGTCTATCAATAGACATTGACATAGACGTTGAGGGTTGGGCTCGCTTGTTTAGAGCGCACAAGAATGCTCCCAACCTTGAAAAAAAAGAAAAAAGTTTCACAGAAGAAAAAAACGACTCGCTCTTCGTTGCGAGGGCAAACGCAAGCCCAACCTACCGCCATAGTAGAATTACCTGAATTCTCCTCACGTGACCGATCCCCAGCCGGTCGACCAATGAGAAGAGAGGACAGGTGCACTCATTGTAGTTTCGGAGGTGGAATCCCGGGTACTCTTGTAAACTGCGACGGCACTATAAAGTCTTTCACGTAAGTTCAATTTTTGCGTGGCATATTCAGAACCTCCTCCAGGTGATGTTGGGCTAAGGATGATGTTATGCTTTCTCAGAGACATAGATATCCACTCAACCGAGTTATGCGCAAAACTGCGTCTCATTGATTGACATCTTCGGATACGTGGGAGTGAAAGATGGTTTTCACACACCGTGATTTCTTCTGAAGAAGATTCAGCGTCTCTTCTCTGTTGTCTCAACACACCTTTCATTTAGAGGAACGTCGGGCTGCGTTTATCTTCTTCTCGTCATTTTTATCCAGGTGAGTCGCTCAGGCTGATGATCAGGTTCGTTGTTGTTGCATGAATCATCACCTGCAAACCTCTCTTGAGGTTATTGCGCTGTAAACCTGTTCTGCATCGCAGGACAACATCCTAGGTTGTTTGTCTTGTATGACTTGACACGTTTGTTTCGAACTAATTAAGTTTTTAAAAAGATATGTTTTAAATTTCCAATACACATATTCTTCAAAAGTCATTCTCATAATTTGCGGCTTAAATAAAAATGTCTATTTGTAATCCTTAAAGGTAAATTATGATCATCATATATTATTTACACATCTAAAAACTTGGCTACTTAGCAAGCAGAGAGTCTCGTGGTGGCGCTATCAAATCATGATGTTGGCAACACGTTAATTTTTGAATGGACAATAACAGAAGAACTTCACGTGTTGTGAACTAATATTAAAATAGTTCATCACCTTGGACATTTTTTTTTGGCATTGACCAATCAGTTTTCTTTATAATAGCCGTGGAGGCCTTGCCTATTTCAATATAGTGTAGGCCTGTTAAAACTAATCTATTACAGATCTGGGTTATCTCAGATTACACTGTGTTTGTTGTTATTCTTGAATAGCCATGTTGTGTCTATTGTTGTTCTTACATGACAGCGTCATAAGCCCATACATTAGATAGGCCTACACATTCAAGCCTTTAGTTAGTTTTTCTTCCAGGTTTAGGGTAAAGTGGTTAAATATTTCTTTTAATCATTTGCTTATCTTTTATGTGTTTAGTTTTAACAATGACGGAGAAAACAGCTCCCTGGTGGAGATCTTTCGTGGGCAAGAGGAGAAAAGCAGCCAGAGAATCGGCAGCGACCCTTGAGCAGGACCTCCGTAATCAGCCATCTGCAGAATCCAAGCAGCAACCCTCTGCTGAGCCGGACCAACGACTCACCTCACAGACCCGTCCAGTGATACAAGCAGGCAACAACCTACCTAGCGACGAAACATACGACGACTCCGCTGTTCAACCCACTTTCAACGAGCTCAACAATCGCCGTTTTCTCACTGTATCGCGCTCCGGCCGCTTCAAAGAGAAAAAGAAGTCGCGAGCGAGTTTTCCACAGAACCACGAAGACGAAGGGAAACCTGTCGCCGCCAAACCAACCGAAGTTCAGTCAAAGCGTTGATTGCAGCCGCAGTTTACATCCGTTGGTAGAGCCATAAGGCACTACCTTCATACTGACAATGTTGATTAACTTGACTCATAAATGCACTTACTGATATTGTGGTGATAGACTGTTGGACTAATTTATTATTGGAGCTTTTCTCCAAATGCTGGAAAAATGGCTTTTCCTTGAGGATAAAACGGCTCTTAGCCAAGCAGGTTTAAATGGGTTTACAGGCACTTTACAACTTGAGATCAGCTAGGTCAGCGTAAACCTGGTAAGACCAGCAAACTATAAGCTGTTTTTTTTTCTCCACCAGGGAAAATACATTCAATAGAATAATATTTGTGAAGGATACAACACATTATTTTTAGACATTTGTTATAGCTAGGCCTACAACATTTGCACTGTATTATGGTGTTACTGCAACATTTTATGAAGGACTATATACGAAGGATTGAGCAGAAACTATTTTAAAGATAATCAGTGTAAGGTCTATCATGGCTGTTTTGAATGGTTGTGCATGCATGTCACTTTTTTGAGCGGGTTTGGGTGGTGGTCCTATCCGTCCAGAATTAAATGTTTTTACTTTAAATGTCAAGATAGTTTTACATCAGCTTTGGCAAAATTCTAAATCATATTATTTGGCTTATTATTTTTTATTTTACTAAATATAAGACACATTGTTATGGTTTATATGTTTGGATAAAAGTAGAGATATAACAAAGAGGTCAAGAAAATCAAAATAATTGATAAGCTGTTAGTTCAGCAAACAGTGTTTACAACAGTTACATGTTATTATTTATTATTGAATATATA